GGAGATAGACCATGAAAATACATGACTTGTAGGTTATCATTTGACACTAATGACACCAGTAGCCATTAGCATTGTAAGGAAATTGAATTTACTGTATTGCATATACATAGAAGTTAGATGATTCTATTTGGATGTAGGTAGGTTTAGACAGAGATTCAGTAATTGAATTACGGTATATTTCTTGCCTTTTCTTTTCCTCTTTGAGTGCTAATTCTGTTATTTTGTTACTGAAGAACATCCTGCATCACCTTCTGTACCTTATTATTTGTGGACACTTCTCTGCCATTTCTTTCGAATCCAAACTTAACAAGAACCCAGAGATTGCCTAATCTTTAAAGGAAATATGTTAAAATGATCTGGGAGAAGGGAAAGAATATGGCATGGATCTATACAACTTCTATTGAGATACTAATGGCTGCAAAGTACATGTTACATTGGTTGCAAAACTTTCCTAGCATTTTTTGTACACAAATTTACAGAAGACATCATGGTAAATATTGTTCCAAGCACACTTTTATTTTTTGATAAGTCACAGGCTTTGAAACAAATGAATCCATACCATTAGCATAGAATTCCTCTGCACTATCTGATAACCATAAATCGGCTGGTATAGAAACCAAGCAACATTGCTGTGTTTTGATGAATAACAATTAACAGGGTAGTAAGATTACAAGTGAATCAGGAGACCAAATGGGTATCAAACTTTTAAGGGCTATTAAGAGTGAAGTGCTCCCCGCAATTATAGTAATCCGCTTATCATAATGAACAGAAATCTGGCCATCTTGTAATGAAGCTGAGGATGGTGCACATGGCTCTATTCCAGCTGTAATAGCAGCATCCCAATTGCCAGTTTCTTCAAAAGAACGAATCAATTGTGTAGCTTGAAGGCCGTTCATAACCAGCATGCTGACGTCCTGCAGAATAAGTATGATACATGGTTACTAAAACTTAAGAATCCAAATGTGCAGCATAATCGAAATTGCATTCTCACCTAAACTCATCAGAAGAAGCATTAACAAAGAAAAGGCCGCAGTAGAAATGACTTGAATCTAGAAATTACCATCAAAATGAGATCGTAAAAACAGGACTGAACTGCACGCACAGCTTCAGCTCCGTTGTTCACGACATCCGTGGTATGGCCTAACTGCTTCATCATTGATTTCGTCACCATTACATTGATCTTGTTATCTTCCACTAGAAGGATCCTAGGCTTTGGTTTTGATTCTGGTTCTTGTGGAATGCTGCTAGAAGTGCACTGAGAACTTACGCCAGATTTCTCTTGTTCCTGACACGACCCTGATGGCTCACCTTTATTAGCCCTTAGGACCAGTTCTTTGCTTGATTCGGTGTGATTATTGCAGTTTGTAGTACCATTTGGAATTTTACTTTTTGTGTCATCTTGAAATTGTTTGCTTCTGCAAACTACGTTATAGTTGCCGCATTCCGGGCTGTGACTAAATGAGCCCCGTCTACATCAGCTGGTCTCCAGAGCTAAGGGGAGAATAGTATCTTGAAACACTAGGCAAGATTAAGGCCACGTTCTTTGATTAAATTGGTCACATCACAATTCACAAGTTGCCAGTTTGCTGTAGATTTCCAGTTTTCTCTTTGCGATGATATCAGAATAGATGAATTGCTTTATTGGTAAGGACTAGTATTTTTTTCGCTTTTTGTCATGGTAAGAAGTGCAGCTTTGCTCTTCACGGGAAAGTGATATTTATGAAAAGTTCTATCAGGGTATCAATCATTGAGAGTAATAAGGCATCCAATGGCAGCTGCACTTGTCGACTATGGGAGGTTGCATTTTTTGTAGAGCCAAAGCCAGAGAATGTGGAGGAATTTTAAAATTTTCCTGGAGAAGAAGGTATTCAAGGAAAATTGACTGGAAAGATGTCTACATCCAGAGCAAAAAAGATTGCCCACAGAGCAGGATGTGAGGTAAAAGCCAGCACATGCTTGCAACGAAACTGCTTTGGCATTGGGATTTCTTTCAGAGTGTTCTAAACTTTGGCAATTTAAAGCTTAAAGTGTTCATAACATAATATATAACAGGATGCAAGTAGAGCTAGGACAAGATTCTAAATGTTTGCACATGATGCCATCCACAGTTTCAAAGAGGATAGAGAAGCAGAAATTGGAAAGAAAGTCCTACTCTTGCAGTATATAGCTAAAAATTTTGCAATTTAAAGCTTAAAGTGTTCGTCACATAATATATAACAGGCTGCAAGTAGAGCTAGGAGAAGATTCTAAAAGTTTGCACAATGCTTGGGATCATTGGAAGCATATGCAGTATTTCTTGCATTCTTTTAGACGAACTGTATTGGAGTTTTTTTTTTAATATCAATCGCATCGTCGCTAAAAAAAATACGCATCAAAAGATCTGATAACTATACTGCTGCTACATACAGAAAGCATAAGGAATGTGTTCTTCCCAAAGGAAAGTAAATGGAAGAGTACTCAGCATGGTTGAACCACTAACTTAGCATGCCCAAACTAACATTGCACATCCCAAAATTCAAATGCAGGCTAAATAATCTCAACCATTATAAACCACTGCCACGAAAAGACAGCAACTAGAGGACATAAGGAGAGTCCGAATCTTATAGAGACTAAAAGAGTAACAAGGTCAATTGAACAGCCCAGTGAAATCATATCCATGAGAAGAGAAGGACAAGAGGAAGAGGGAGGAGGAGGCCAAGGAGAAGGAAAGGTATCCAGTGATCATCTTAACATTGACACCAAGGCCAAGGGCTCGGCAGATAGTCTCAGCACTATCATGCCTTGGAGGGTCGAAAAGAGGCAAGAGACCCACAAACTCCCATGGTGATCCTTCACTTGCCTTGTTCTTCTCTGGAATTGTCTATAAACAGGGAAAAAAAATACACATGCCATCGAACAAATAGCATTTCAGCTAGAAAGTAGCTTGCTTTATTCTAAGGAATCATGTGAAATGAGTAGCGAGAAAATCAATGTCACCATACCCTCTTCGTGCCAAGTGCATAAGGCTGTTGTGTTCCATGTTACAACTCCAAATCACTTGACCTAATACTCTAAATTACTCGACCTGGTGATTTAAAACTGGCCACGAGAGAATAGATAGAACTCACTTTATAACTCAGATGAAGCTTTCTCTCTGCTCTTTTTGCTGCATTGACTACTTCTCTCTCAGCTGCAATGCTAGTAAATAACCATTAGCTTCATCAGGGCAAACAAAAAGAATTTATAGAACTCAACAACTAAGCAATAGAATAGAAAACATTGCTACTGGAAATACTAAAGCACTCTGTATATTTTGCTCTGTGCTTCAATAAGAGAAGAGAACATTTTAAAGTTCCCTGCCTTCCATTTATGGCTCGATAGGTTTTGTAATAAACTAACAGATAGGCTGAGATAAAAGGTTTACCTTTCAAATCTACAGAATCCACAAAAACACATTGCCCAATTTCCCTCTTTTCAGAGGAACCCAAATGACATTTTCAGCAGTACAGCAAAAGACAATAGCAACAATAACAACATTAACTGATTAACAAAACCTCAACAGGAACAAAATTAAATCGCATTAAAAAAAACCTTAAAGTCTCCAAATATCCAAACATAGATAACATGCTAATAGCATCGAGAAAATAGCTAAATTGTCCTTGTGAAAACCAGACAAACCAATTAGTCCACACTCTGCATGATATCTTCAGCAGTGAACTTAGTGCCCTTCTCTTTCTCTCCAACAGCGCGACCCTTTGCCTTGCGATCCAACAAAGACTTCCTATCCTTATCAAGCCTCAACTTTGTAACAACGACCTTCGATGGGTTGATGCCGACATTAACTGTCGACCCGTTTACCTTCTCGCGTGTAATCCTCTCGATGTGGATGACCCACTTTCTGCGATAAACTTGAACCACCTTGCCCTCGCGTCCTTTGTAGGTCCCACGAACAACCTGGACTTCATCGTCCTTGCGGACTGGCATGGATCGGACGTTGTACTTCTGGCGGAGATCGGTGGAGAGCGGGGCGCTCATTAAGATCCTGCGTACAGAGGACGGTGCCGTGAAGTGGGCCTTCCGGTTCTTGCGCCTGCTAGAGGAGACTCTGGGGTTATACTTCATTGTGGCGGTCGTCGGTGGGCTCGCCGGGATTAGGGTTTCGGGAAGAGTTGGGGTAAGAGGCGAAGAGATTTATATACGGTGGAGGGAGGAATAGGGTTTTTTGCTTTCTGGTTGGTTTTTATGGTGGGCCTGATTGAGTGTATTTGGGCTAAATTAAACTACAAGGATCGGGCCCAAGACCAAGACCATTTTGCAGGATTGTCTTTTAACCTGAAAAATCAAGTTGAGACGTGGAATTCCAATCTCCTCTTCAAGCTGACTTTATGCATAATGCATTAGCCTAATGCCATTAGGAACAAGAAAGCAATAGAATTTAAAATCCAAGTTGATATTTTTGGGTTCGGGCTGGACCGTCCAGTCCAGCCCAATTGTTTTTAATTTTTAGGCTGGACTGGTTTGAGATTAGCCCAGTCCAGCACACATACTAATTAGGCTTAGCCCAACCCATAAACACTTCCAAATTCCATTATAAAGAAAACAATGGATCAAAACCCCTTTTTTCTAATTTTTTTCTTCTCTCTCTCCCGAATTGTCTCTTTTTATTTTCTTTTCTTCTTCTCCCAAGCGGTCTCCCATAGCTGTCATGGCCAAACCAAAACTGGTTCGTCCATGCTCTCTCTTTTTTTCCTTCCTTTGTCCTATGTCACTTTATTAACCCCCTTTTCAAGTTAGATCAAAGCCCCAAATCAATTTGTTCAACAAATTTTTCCTAATTATGATCGAACTCTTTAAGTTTTTCAACTTTCAATATTCTTAATTGGCTTGATTTCAAGATCAAGCCAAATCTAACCTAAATGAGTCCTTATTTTCAAAAACGTTTCAATCTAGTCTAATTCGAGTTTAGTTATGAGTTTAAGCCCTAAATTGAAACTACAGTTAATGTCATTTGGCCTTCTTTTCCATTATTCAATCACAATTTCCACCTAAACAATAAAATCCCCAAATTCAAAATAATAATAATAATAACCATCTAAAAATCCCCAAAAATTTCCATTTTTTTGAAATTTAAACCAAATTGATCTAGGTTTTAATTCAATTCAAACTTCTAATTAAGTGAAAAGCAATATATATATATATATATATATACACACACACACACGTTGGTTCTCCATCACGACGTGGAGTGGAAAATTGCAGGAGTAGGGAGTGTTAGATTGCTATTTCCTGCTGAAGGCTCAAAATTACACTGAAGATGCGTCCCTCTATCCCAGTTTAATTTTTTTTTATTGTTTTGTATTTCACTTTTTTTGTAAATTTTTTGTATTTTTCTGGTATTGAAATTCTAATATTAACAAAGAATTTTTTTAATTCTTAGTTAATTTCTTTTTTAAATAGATAAACATGAGCTAAAATAATTAAAAATATATATATCAAGGGAACAATTGAAAGTGAAAAATATGGGGTATGACAACAAGTATTGTGATTTAGTCAGAGAAATTTTATAATACACAAGGGGTAACTAATGGCATGTATTGTAGTTACTCCATGAATTTATTTTGAGGAGAGAGATAGACACATTAAATTACATCCAAACCCACCAAAAGTGATAAGAAGATTTTTCACGTTCACTCAAAATTTTTTTAATTTTCTCTCTCCTTGTTTTTTTTTTGTGTTTATCTCTCTCCTTAAAGTGGATCCATGGAGTAACTACCGTATATGTCATCAATCCTTGTGTATTATAAAATTTCTCAATCGATCAAGGTAAACGATAATGAAATAAGAAAGGGATTGTCTTCGACTTATATAAGGCTAACTTCGACAAATTTGGGGCAACAAATAGTTCATTAAAGTTAAATACTACCAATAAATCCAAGTCCATCTAATTTACTAATACGAGAAATTATGTTTGTCAATGATTTTAAAAACATAACTTTCATAATTGACTCCATATATTTAAAAACAATTTAATATTTTTTATGAATATATGTCAATCATAACAATACTAACCACTTGCATATGTTTTAGGCTCCTGGATTTTGAATTACATAATGAGATAGTTCTTTCTTGTTATATTATAAGAACTCTAAAACATGAGTGTTTTTCTATTCAAACAATTATAGCACAAGGCATAGTTTACTATTTATTTTACTATTCCTACAAAAGTGTTTCTTTTAATTTTGCACCCTTATTTACTTTTTTAATTATATCACTCGCCATTGCTACTTTTACTCTTTTTTTGTCCCCTTAACCTTCTCTTCTTATCTTTTCACCTTTTCCAGCTACCATTGCCTTCGTTTTTTTGCTATTTTTTCTATTCATCTATTAGCCTAACAAGATTGCAATTAGTTCATGTAGTATCAAGCTTGGTCTATTTGCTTCAAAATCTAGTTGTGGAACTTCAAAAGTAAGTGCGAGTAAGAAGGTCCATTATAACATGAGAGGGACTTTTAAAGTAAGAGCAAACCTAGGTCACGCTACATTATTCATACTAGTTACACCGAAGGTGTGAGATAGAGATGATTGACCTATACCTTCTACTACACTTATCCCACAACTTGCGGCCTCCATCCAGCTCGCAAGTTACACTCGCTCAACCACCCCTACACGTGTCGTGTCTCTTGTAGCACATAATTGTCAACTCCCCACAATCCCGCAATCACCACTACTACCGACCTTCACCCTACAGAGCAACTTGCAATCCTCCCAAGTCAACATGTCCATTCAAATCACAATATTGTTAGCCTCCACCCTACTTTCTTCCACTCTCCTATTATTTCACCCCATACCATACTTGTCAAAATATCTCACACCATCATCGGTAGGGAATCAATAATTTCATAAGTATATAAAAACAAGCAACAAACAAGGGAGAGGAGGTCGGTTCTTGAAAAAGAAAAATTGAAGAAAAAAAATCCAAAAAAGAAATAGAAATCGAACAAAAAAGAAAAAAAAACTAAAAAAAAACACAAAGAAGAAAAGGATTTACCTATTTAATTGGAGCAAGCGATACCTCTCACTATCATCCTCGGCTCGAATTCGTCTAGGTAAACTAATCCTCCGAATGTAATTTTTCTTTGTATTTAGGTTTCGAAACTAAGGGATTTTTTAATTTTGATTGAAATTGAGTTTGAATGACTCGAAAGAAAGGCTAATTAAAGTTATTTGAGTTGTTAATTTAAGGATCAAACCCTAAATTTAGGCTTAATTGAACTAGATTAAAACCTAGGGTTTCTAGATTTTTTTAACAATAATAAAATTTAGGGGTTTTCAAGAAATTGGGTTCTCGGAGACTTGAATTGACTTGATTTTAAGAGAAATCAAGGCAATTAAGGCTAATTAAAAAAAAATTAAAACCTAGGGTTCAATCAATTTTAGGAAATTTTGGGCAAAGGATTGAATAGGGTTTTTTTTAATCTAATGGAGAATCAATAGAGGGAGGGGTTGAAGGAGGATTAGATGAGAGAGAGTGAACCAAAGATGAACTTTGGTTCATTCTTCCATGGAGATCGGGTAGAGAGAGAGAAGAAGAAGATGAGATGAGGCGAGAAGAAAGGAAGAGAAGAAGAGAGGAAGATAGCGAAAAAGTGAGGGAAGGAAGGAAAGAAAGAGAGATCGAACTAGAATCGGTTTGTTTCTTTCGAAGAACTGGACAAGGAGATGAAGAAGAAGATGAGAGAAGGAGAAGAAAGAGAGAGATATTGGGTGAGAGAAAGAAGAAAAAGAAAAAAGAAGATTTGATCCAAAAAAAAAATGAAGGTTTAGTTGGTGTTAGTAGACTTGGGTTCGAGCTAAAAATGAAATGGGTTGGCCTCATGTGTGGTTGGATTGGGCTAATCTCAACCTAGTCTAACTCAAAAAAAAAAAAAAAAAAAATAGAAGAAGAAAAAAGAAGAAGGAAGAAAAATTGGGCTGGAAAGTACATAATCAACAACGTTATGTTCAAATTAATTAATCGTTGGTATAATCTTAGACTCATGATATAAATTAATTATTTCAACTTTATCTCATTTATTTCATGTAAATATGTTAACTATCAATTGTTGTACATATATTTTTTACTTCAACTTTCAATATTTTTTTGTTTTCCCTTCCAAATTTATGTTTCCTTAAAAAAAATATAGTGCTCTTTATGATAACATTTACTTCTTAGTTATTTTGTTATTTATTAAAACTTATATACCTAGGTACTTTACAAATTTAGTGAGTTGATTATTTATAGTTGGTGCACATTTTACTTGATTTGTCTTCAAAATTTATGTACAACTATTGTTTATGTTTGTTTCATAATTTTAAATATTATAATATCTATAATTATTATATTGGTTTATGATGAAAACAATTGATATTCATTATTGTCCACTACTTTGAGAGTTATTCCAGTTCTATATACTAATTTAATGTTATTTAACGATTTGCATTCTTGTATTATTTATTTTCGTCTATGTTAGTATTATATTTTTTATTCAATTAAATGGTTTTATTATTGAATATTTTTAGGCACTTTTTTGTTGATTTTATTGCAAAATGCTAATTCTAATGTTCTTACGTCATATTGTTGTTTTAGCATCCGATATGCCATTTATTTCAGCGAGTTTCTTACTTTTTCTTTATGTTTAGGGTTTTACATATGTAAAATAGTTTTGTTACTCATCTTCTTCAGTTATACATGTGCTTTTATTATTATTATTATTATTATTATTATTATTAGTATATTTCACTTGCTACGTTATAATATTTAGGTCACTTGGCTCATAAATCTTTGTTATGTCGTATTTTTTTTTCGATTAACCATTACGTTCATGTTTTATTGCAATTTTATGCATAAAAACTATCTTCAACTTATCTACTACTGAAAACAATTATTTTTTGACAAATTATTCCCAAGCAAGACAAAAAAAATAAAAAAAAAGTTTTATTTTTTTCCTTTTATTCCCTCTATGTTTCTGTTTTCCACATTTCTTTCATTTTCTTTTCCGAGTAAATATTTTGGTTTTTGCAATAACAATTTTTTTCTTATATTAGTGTTAACTATTATTTCATTCAATGAATTTATTTTAATT